TTAATCTTTTGCATACCATTTTCCAGTTCTGTCAACATCATGTGTTGAAGAGACTATGTCTTTCCCACTCAATGTACTTTCGCCCTTTGTTGGTGGGTTAATTTCTGGATTCTTAATTCTAGTCCATTGATCGTATGTGTCTTTCATTGTACCAGGCTGTTTTGGCCACTTTAGCAAGGTAGTAAATTTTGGAATTGGAGTGAGAAGCCTCCAACCTTTTTCTTCTTGTTAAGCAGTGCTTTGCTTATCCTGGGTCTCTTTCTTTTCCATATAAAGCTTGTAATTGTTTTTTCCATCTTTCAAAGAATGTCCTTGGAATCTGGATTGGGATTGTGTTACATATATAGATTGCTTTGGGCAGTATTGACATTTTCACAATTTAATTCTTCCTATCCAGGATCATGGTGTGTTCTTCCATTTTTCTAAGTCTCTTTTGGTTTCTTGTTTTCTTTATGTAGGTCCTCCTTTTTTCTGGTTACATTTATTCTTAAATATTTCATTCTTTGGTATTGTAAATGATATTGCTTTCCTAATTTCCTTTTCAGTGTTGTCATTATTAGTATAGAGGAATCCAGCTGATTTTTGTATGTTAATCTTGTACCCTGCCTCTTTGCTAAGTTTTCCATGAGTTCCAGTATTTTTTTTTGGCTGAGTCTTTGGTGCTCTCTATATATAAGATCATATCATCTGCAAATAGAGTTTGACTTCCTTTTTGCAAATATGGATGCCTTTAATTTCCCTATCTTGCCTTACAGGCAAGGCTTCCAAAACAATATTGAATAGGAGTGGTGATAAAGGGCACTCTTGGCTGCTACCTGTTCGCAAGGGAAAGGTTATCAGTTTCTCTCCATTGTGAGTGATGTTAGTTGTTGGTTTATATATATGCTCTTAATTACGTTGAGGAACTTCCCTTAAGTTCCTACTTTGTTGAGTGTTTTTATCAGGAATGAATGTTGGATTTTGTCAGCTGCCTTTTCTGCATCAGTTGATAAGATCATGTGGTTCTTTCTTTTTTACTTATTTATATGGTGGATTACATTGATTTTCTGATGTTGAATCATCCTTGTATCCCTGGTATGAATCCCATTTGGTCCTGATGTATTATTTTTTTAATGTGTTGCTGAATTCTGTTGGCTAGGATTTTGTTGAGAATTTTTGAATCTATCTTCATGAGAGATACTGGTTTATAATTTTCTTTCTTAAAAATGCCCTTCGCTGGTTTTGGTATGAGTGTTATGCTTGCTTCATAGAATGTCTTAGGGAGTTTTCCATTCTCTTTTATATTCTGGAATAATTTGAGTAGAATTGGTGACAGCTCTTCCCTGAATGTTTGGTAAAACTCAGCAGTGAAGCCATCTGGACCTGGACTTTTTTGGGTTGGGAGGTTTTTGATGATGTGGTCAACTTCTTCCTTTGTTAGAGGTGTGTTCAAGTTTTGTACTACACTCTGTGTAAGTTTAAGTAGGTTGTGCTTTTCTAAAAATGTATCCATCTCCACTAGGTTTTCCAATTTATTAGAGTACAGCTCTTCATAATATTCTGTTATCCTTTTTATTTCTAAAGGTTCTATTGTGATAGCACCCATGTTTTTTTTATTTTTAAGTTTTTATTGTAGATTGAGTGAAAGTTTACAGGGCAGATCATCAGTTTTACATTCAACAAATCATACAACTTGTTTTATTAAAATGATGACAATCCACTCCATATACCATTAGTTAACAGTATTTCTCTTGATTTCACTTCTCAGTGGAGATTCTCTACCTTCCTTCACGCCCTCTGAATCTAGGCTTCCTATTGAAAGCTTGTAAGCCAGTCACTTCTTGCCTTTGTA